CTCGGAGGTTGTGTTCACTGGGACGCTGCTGAGCCCCGCTCAGTTGTTAACACTAACAGCAGCTACATTAGCAGTTAGCTACCAGCGGCTATATTCTCTTTATTCTCTCCAAAAATTATGATCCAGTTTCACCCAAATCACTGATAAAGTTGTGTGTTTGTACAGTAACCAGTGAGCTCCGCTAGATAGCTAACTAATGAATATTCGCTCTGTGTTGCTAAAAGTTAAAGATTGATTGATATTATCGTTTGACATCCGTTAGTTCATGCTGACATAAGCATGTTTTGTTTTACAGGAACACAAAATGATTAGACTTTGATATAAAAATATCTTAACTGGTTTAACAATGACATTTTTAATTTCACCCCGGCTTTAAATTAGAGAAAATAAACACAGTTTGATCCAATTCTTCCTAAGCACAAAGACATGACTCTCTCAACTCTCTCTCTTTCAGCTCCAAGCACAAATCCAAACACCGGCTTGCTTTCGCCTATTTACGGTAGCTAAACTGTGATTGGACAATCGCTGCTCACTGGCTTAACAAACGGTAAATTCCCAGCTGACAAATGTTCCAATTATATCACATTTAGCCTTCACCATTCGGCACATGGCACACTGTTTGTGTGTGAACAACATGGAGCTGCTGACTATTTATATCCAGGAACCTTAATTGGGTTTTGTTTCTTTCCTGGAAGTTAACATAAAAGTTCAGTCGAGTATATACTGTATTACGTCACGGGAACGGTCACACACAGTCACAGGAGGAGGATGAAAAGAAGTTACCATCAGGGTTTTAATCACTAAGGCAAAAACCCAGACACATATCAGTCAGTGTTGCCTTCAGCGCTCTTCTGTTTCAACCACCTACGCAGCCCGCCTCGATACAGCAGACGGTTGTTTGTGTTGATCCCACTGATCTCGATGAACGACACCGTTACCGGTCATTTACCACAGTTTATTTACCATATATTATAATATAACATCTTGTAAAAAGCACACACACGTAGATATATGAGTGCACAATCAGATAACTGGTCGAAGAACACATTTTTTAAAAACAAAAAAGAAAGCCATTAACTACAAGAGTGATTTAAATGGATGACGAAAAGCAAATATTCTCAAGCTCCCGGTGCACCAAAAGATCTGTGCTGACTGTTTATTTTTCATCTGTTTATCTCTCAGATGGATTAAATTAATTATAACGTGATAAACATCACAAATCATTCAGGAAATCAAAAGTCACCATGTAAATTATACTTACTGCCGGCAAGATGTGTAAGCTGTACATTTTATGTGACAATTATTGTCCGTTATTTTCTGTCTCGTGTTGGGTGATGTCATTTGTTTGGGCTCATTTCTTCAGATGAAAAACGCTACGGGGACCTCGGTTAAAGAGAGAGACTGCTATGGAAGCCCTTTCCCGCCAATGTGGGGGGGAGGATCTTGTAAGTCATTATAATGATAAAGTTTCTCCAAATAATGACTAAATATCTCAGAATAATGAGAGTTTCTTAATAGTTTGACTTAATATCTCAACATAATGAGAAACTTTCTCAACAGATATTAACTAAAAATTTGTTAATATCTCAAAATAATTAGAACTTTCTCAATATTTTGACTTAATATCTCAAAATAATGAGAAAATAATGACTTAATATCTCAAAATAATAACTATTGAGTCATTATTTTGAGACAGTTTCTCATTATAATGACTTACAGGATCCCTTTTCCCCGTCACACTGGTGGAAACGAGCTTCCATAGACTGATGAACTCTGACTGACAGCGTGATCAAAAAAAAAAGCAGCAGAAAACCTTTTAGCTTGGCTGATCTTTCATTTGTTCTGCTACTCAGTTGCTTATCGTGCTGCTTCCTCCCTCCGCTCTGTTTACGGCCTCTGATTATCCGACGCAGCAGAGAGGTGCCCGGATGAGGAGAAGTCGAGGAAATATGTTTTAATAAGATTAACAAATCATTAAATTATTAGCCTTAATACCCCCACGAGAGGCAGAGCATAACGTGGAAAGTCATGCTGCTGTTCAGCCTCCTTTGCTAATTGAGGACACTGAGGGTCAGGCAGGTCAGAAGCTCACTAATCAATACCGCTGCACCCCTCTATTTCCACTGAGAAATATTTTCCATTTTCATTACCGCGGGTCCGGGATGCTCTGCAGTAGATTAATTGTCTCCTTTTGCTTCTTAACCAGTCCTCAGTTCCCCTCCCACACACACACAAGCCTTCCTTTTCATCTGAGTGGTCCACGTTTAGTAATTTGGACACAGAGCCTCACGGTGTCCCCGGCTCACTGGTGGAGGGAGTGGGTCTGGGGGCAAGGCAGCGCAGGCTCGGAGGGGAGGGCAGCCGTCAGGCCCGGGTGGTACTTGGCTGGCCTCGGACCTCCCAGCGCCTGAGTTGGGGGCTCCATGCCCATGTTGAGGTGCAGTGACAGGTGGGCGTGGCAGTAATCCAGAACCGACTGCTCATACCGGTACAACGTCAGAGCACTCAGCTGCCGCGGTATCTGGACAGGAAGCGGGAAAAAAAGGAGAAACCACAAGTAAATCTTTTAAATCAGCCACACACAAAAAAAAGCCTCCGTTTGCGACATTTCATCCACTCTCAGAATATCTTGGAATTGGCTTCATTTACTTCATGCAGTCGTGGCAGCGTGCTGTCATTAATGCAAGCCTTGGCCGCTGATACAGTGCGTGCCCCAAGACCTGAAATCTGTGGCACTCCAACACCCACTTTCTAGCTGGAGTGATTTATATGCAAGATGAAAGCCTTAAGCAAGAGTGCACACATATTTTCTGCCCTCTTTTAAATGGAGTCAAGGCTCCATTTAGAAGAGAGTGCTTATTGCATTACAAGCACTTTGCTGATTCAAAGACCCCTCTTTAGGTTTTCGTGCTACTGTGGTCTGAATTATGTCAATTAAGCCGCATCACGGTGTGTGTGATAAAGATATTAATATCCTAATAACTATTAATGCCTTCACGCAAAATATGGATGCACTCACATATCTTTAAATCCACAAAGCAACATAACACAGAAACATTCATGTAGGTCTGTTAATGCACATGCAGCACTAGAATGCGTTACGCTAAAGGTGACCTCCGCACAGAGATGTATGTTCAGCATTTTAACATTAACGCAGTAAAATGTAGCTTAATGAATGTGAGAGCTAATATTAGCATCGGTTCTAATGTGAAAACAAGGTGCAGCGTTCAAAGAGAGATCACAGATCACAAGAACCGATACTTCGGTACCACGTTGATGGCAAAGTTGTTGTTCTATTGTGCTGGACTTGTGGACTTGGTGCGTGTGAGGTACAGAAATGAGACTCATAAAGTCGATCAATCTTAGATGTTATTTTGCTGTTTGCAAACATTGTTTGGTTGTTTACATTTATTGTTTTGGTGACAGTATTGTTTTTGTTTACACTGTAGGCTGCTTTGTTTATTGTTTTCATATGTTGAATCAGAGTTTTTCCTATTTTCCTGTTTTTATTGACACTGATTTTAAATTGTTTAGTTTTGTTGTTGTTTTTGTGTGGACTCGTAAGAATAAGAATAAAGATAGTTTATATGAAAACGAAACAAACAGGCAGCAGCGTACGTTGGATTAGGGTTAGTACGCTGAGGAGTTGTTGTTGCTGTTGTTCTTTGAACTGTCGCACAACATGTTTTTGGGAAAGAAAATACCGAGCGGCAAAGAAAAGAGACCAGAAAACCCGACAAAGTGTCCATCATTCGGGATCCTTTCAAATGAAACTAAAACTCCATACACAGGGTCGGTTTAGCTTAGCACAACATCAGCACGTCACTGTGAAGAGCTAGCTAGCTATTTTAATTGGCTTTAATGACTCATAGCTGCTAGCTAGCTAACTAGCTGTCCACACTCAGCAGTGAACAGACTGTAGGAACGTTAATGTTACATAAACTAATGTGGCAGCGAACACAACACACAGCCTTTCAGTAACTGTTACACTGCAGCCTGAGCTTATCTACACACTTTATGGCTGATTCAAGTAATCTAACTACTCCTCAAACGTACTGATGGTGGGGGTACAACAGAAGACACAAGACCTGTCTTATTTTCTTTGGTGTATATTTACTATTGCTATATTGCTACTATTGCTTTAATTTCTCATCCGATTAATCGATGGAATAATCGGTAGAATACTCCATTACTTAATTAATTGATAGCTGCAGCACTAATTGGTATCGACTACCATTCCTGCTATCGTGACGTCCCTACTTCCACACTATGAGCTGTGGGCAGAACACATATTATAAAATATGTTGTCTTGGATTATTTTATTGGATCACAAAAGGATTTACTTAAAGCTGATTTGATGCAGAAATGGCTTTCAGAAAGATTTCGTCTGTATCAGGTCTAGGTCAGGGTTTGTTCGCGGCGCTGTCACCGTTCAGACCCTTAAATTTAAAATCACAGCTTTCAGAAAGGTTATGTTTCCCTATCCGGAAACGATCTGGCTCTGTTTGCTCTCCGCTTTAATAGGAAGATTAGTTGGAAACACTCTATTGTCAAATTCAACAGCTGAACTTTGCACGCTACTTCAGAGGACTTAATAAAAAATTCATGAACAACAATGCCCCGAATGCAAAATGAGCTAAACGTCAGGGGAAAGGGGGGGGGGGATCTGGGATCTGGATCTGGGACTGCAAAATATTAAGGGGAACGGCTACGTTGTGGACTTGTTTTCTCCAATTATTGCGGTAGTAAAAAGTCAAACATGTAAGCGGTGGAGTGGTTGAACCGACCTCTCTGTGTACAGAGCTCTTTCTTCTACAGCCTGTCTCCTCTGTTTAACTTAAATCCAAAAGGTGCCATAAAATAAACAGAGCCGCAGTTACTGAGACAATAAAAGGCTTTTTTTTTTTTGCCGTACCTCTACAGATCTGTAATAAATACACCTTTTAGAAAGCTATAGCACCATTATTATATAGGTCACCTCACTATAAACTGTGTGAACAGTCCAGACTTGAAAGCTTCTCATGACCTCTTAAACCACTGGTTCCTCAAGGGAGCCTTTTTCTATCATTCAATAAACTCACGACGCCTCCTTAAGTGACATAATTCATAGATATTTCATATTATATTCAAAACTGTACAATGAACCCAAACAGTAAACAATTCTCTGTCTGTATTATGTATTTTTTGTTATATTTAACAATTTTATGGACTTAATAAGCTTCTTTTTTGACAAATCCAGTCAAAAAAAACGCCATGTGAGGCTGTAGTTGCCATTGAATGCTAATGCTACCATGCTCACAATGACAATGCTAACATGCTGATGTTTAGCAGCTACAATGTTCACCGAGTTCACTATCTTATTTCAGCATGTTAGCATGCTAACATTTGCTTATTAATGCTAAATCCAGCAGAAACAAAAACTAAAAGTAACAAAAACTGCAGTTCCTCTAACGGCCACTTGAGGCTGGCTCCAAAAGGCGTATTTATTGACAAATTCTGTGTTTTCTTGCCAAAGCCTAAAAGTCTACAGCCAAGCCAGTAGCCCTGTGAGGCTGTAGTTGCTGTTGAATGCGGTTTAGCAGCTATAATGTTTATAAAGTTCATCATCTTATTTCAGCGTGTTAGCACACTAACATATAACGCTAAGTCAAGCAGAGCAGTGTTTTCTTGTCTCTTTGCTATTGTTCTATTAGACAACTTTACTGTACTTTACATTTACTTTTTTTCACAGGAGTGAACCAGTTGCTGAAATATAGGCCTACTGGGAATATTTTTTAAGTTTTCTCGCAAACCCCCGGTGAAGCTTTGGCAGATATGTGTCTTTGTTTAAGACTAAAATAGCATTTTGGGTCTTTGAAGGTGTTTGCGTCATTCAGAATAATCAGAAGAGAATATGAAACGGCACTGCAAAGCTTTGAGGTTGTTTGCTATGTCAGTTTTTATCTGCTTTGCTTAAAAACATAAAGTATATCCTGCTCGCCATCACTGTGCAGATTGATTTAAACCTTCTCGACACAAGAGGCTCCTCATTTTTTATCATTATGTTCAGTCTGCAGCAAATGCATCAACGTCAAGGTTTCCGTCTGTTTTGCAATTTACTGTCTGGAACTGGACTTTCTTTTAAACTCAGAGTAAAAAAAGTGCTTTATATGTGATACACATTAACCATAACACTCACTGATGACATGGCAGAGGCGGCGAATTGTGCCAATGTCAAACTCATTTCTCCCAGCGTGATGCAACACGTGTGGTCGGACTCTGTGCTGCAACGTTGTGACATCTCGAGGCACTTCCAAAGCAATAGAAAAACTAAAATAGCATGTATGTAAATGTGTTTCTAACGTAGATTTGTATGCTACCAGACCACACACTACCCCCCCCCCCCCCCCCC